TGCATGATGGCTCGCGAAACAAACGCTGACAATAAATAACGATGTATTGGCATTTTTTTTGTGTAAGAATATACATCCCATATCGTCCCACTGATGTTGCACGAAGCGACAGATCAGGAGATGAGCAGCAGCATCTTCCTAATAACGACCAAAAATAAAAAAATATAAAGAAAAAAATATCCGACTATTTTGCGAAAAACTAATACAAATATTTTTGAATAAAACAATTTTTTGAATAAAACATTGAATAAAACAATTTTTACTGATTTCATTGCGTATAATTTAACTTATTTTTAAAGACTTTTATACTAGGCTGCACTAAAAGTATCGGGAATAGAATATTGCCACTGTTCCTGTCATATTAAAATCTTTTTAATTGAAAATGCCTTGGTTTTAAAAATCGAATACCATTTATGTTTTTAAAAAAAGATTCTCGGTCTTGTCACAAGGTTTTGTCAAACTTGTTTAGTCGTTGAGAGAATGGAATTGACTCGAGAAAATTCAAGAGCGATGATTTATTATGACTTTCGAAGTGGTTTAACACAAAAACAGTGTGTTGACCGGATGATTTCTGCATTTGGTGATGAAGCCCCATCCAAAACCACAATTTATCTTTGCTTAATTTCAACGTGGACTTGTCAAGCTCAGTGATGATCCCCGTCAAGTCACCCAAGAAAACGTTGATGCTCTGCGTAAGCTGATTGTGGAAGATCGACATGTGTCATACCGCGAAATTCAGGCAACTTTAGACATTAACATGAGTCAAATACAAATAATCTTGCATGAATAATTAGGTGTAAAAAAGTTGTTTTCCCGCTGAATACCGCATTCGCTCTGTGAAGAGCAAAAAGCGGGTCGCGTTACTTGGTGCGTAAGAACGCTCGGGCCACGCAGGATCCTCAAATGCTGTATACAACATCGTATCAGGTGACGAATCCTGGATATATGTGTACGAACCCGAAACAAAAAAACCAGTCACGAGTTTGGGTGTTCAAAAATGAGTTAAAGCCAACAAAAATTGTTCGTTCACGGAGTGTTGCAAAAAAAAATGGTGGCCACGTTTGTCTCCAAAACTGGCCATGTTACGACTATTCCTCTTGAGGGACAAAGAACGGTGAATGCAAAATGGTATGCTAGTATTTGTTTGCCACAGGTCGTTTCTGAACTCCGTAAAGAGAACTGCAACCGCCACATCATCCTCCATCACGATAATGCGAGTTCTCACACCGCACACAGAACAAAAGAGCAAGAAAACATAGAATTATTAGACCATCCGCCGTACAGCCCCGACCTAAGCCCTAATGATTTCTATACTTTCCCTAAAATAAAGAATAAATTGCGTGGACAGAGATTTTCATCACCTGAAGAAGCTGTGGACGCCTACAAAACGGCCATTTTGGAGACCCCAACTTCCGAATGGAATGGTTGCTTCAATGAATGGTTCCATCGTATGGAAAAATGTGTCAAATTTCGCGGAAAATACTTCGAAAAGCAATAAATACATTTTTAAATAGTAATGTTGTGTCACTTCCTTGATTCCCGAAATTTTCAGTGCCACCCTCGTATTACTTGCGATGCATGTTTACTGTCAAATCTTACAACTGATTTTTAAAGCGATCGTGTGATATATCTTCTATATTTGATATTGTTACATCAGTTATTTTTTCTTCTTTGTTTATGTACCTGAAACATAAAAGAAAAAAGTGTGCGTCAGGTTGAAAAAACTAAATACGAAACATAATACAAGAAGCTCGTAAAATGGTGTACATCTTTACATAGTATAAAACAAAGTCACTTCCCGCCATTTGTATACTTGAGATCTTAGACCTTTTACGCAACGGATTTTTCTTGACCCCTTAATAATTTTAAATTACGACGTTGATCACCAAGTCCCCAGTGACCACGGGTGCTGCAAATATGGTTGCCATGTGGTCGGGATTCGTCTGGATTCTCCTGACATTGTAAAATGATCTCCAGTACAATAGGACTGTATGATAATTCTTATTATGATAATTAAAGTTTTTTTACTGTAATAATTAACTTACTTATATTGTGTTTTTAATATTACAAAATAAAAGTTATGAAAAATTAATAATTAGTAATAACGTATTAAAGTGTTCTTGCTTTATTTATGTTTATTTTGTCATTTACGTGAATGTAAATTCTTTTGGGAATTTAAAGCTAACTCAAACTAGACAATTATAGTGTTGCGATTAAAAAGGTGAATTTAGTGTCTCCAGTGCAGTTTTTATATTAGGCCCTGCTTTATAATATTACAACAAGTTTTAAAGCAAACATGTTTGAAGTTTGAACAACAATATGCACCGTTGTCCTGGTAGTGCGTTTACGGTTTACGCCGCAGTCAGGGATTTTTTCGCTCTGCGTAAACGAGATAGTTATAACGCCATCTGTCGGAATCGATAAGAACTTGTTGGCGTTATCTATAGTTACATCCACGGGACGAAATGGGTTGATAGATTTCTTCTGTTCGTATGTTTATTACAGAACTCCTCCTTAACGCTTGGACCGAATTTTAATGGACACACGATTTTTTATGTGCGTTTTAAGGAGCCCCTGGGTGGTTTAGATTCTTAATTAAACCCGGTAGGTGGCGCCGTTGTCGAGATCAAGAAATCACCGCTGCGAAGTCAGGGCTGATCGCTAGTATGCATATAAGCTTTTTACAAAGAAAAAATGTTTCAAGTTCACTCTTTAGGTATCGATTTTCAAACACAAATTAGTTGGGAAGCGAAATCGAATGACACCGTTATAATGCCCTTCCACGTAACACTGCCGTTAATGTAATGAAGTAATAGCGAAATCTACTGCATTCTATATGTAATTTTATAGAACATATTAGTTGATTGGACTCTCAAAGTACTGCGGTGTTACGTAAAATAAACGCTAGATGACCTAAACGCGATTAATTTGATATGAACGTTCAGAGTATGGAGTGTAGAGATACACTCCATAGTCGAGACCTTTTGGTGCCTTAAGTTTTTGTAACAAATGGTACCCGAATTTTTAATTTCAAGAATAAATATAGTTTTTTTATTTGAAAGTTGTTACAATTTTATAAAAATTTCATTAAGTGATTACAAATCTAAATGCATTTAATGCATTTGTAATAGCGTGAGATTTTAGAAAATGCACGCATTCCTAGAAGAGGTATACGGTGTACCCACACATATTTATTTTGTATATT